CAGTTTTATAGTTTTAAATAAAGAAATATGAACTTTAATAAGAAGCCACTGTGTTCTGTTAAATGGATGATTTCTAAAAGCTAAAGAGTGTGAGACTGGTGGAGGATCGTATTAACAACTATCTGACGTACGCTGACGATACAGTCCTATATCCTTACAGCAGCTGGTTAGAGTTTGTTCAGGTTCTGCTCTTTATTTATTCTTTGTGTTAAATGTGCTGAACAAAGTGAGATATTTCCTCATCAGGAGGATTTATGTGACGGTGACGATGTGCAGTGTTGTAAGGTGTCTGTAAGCACGAGCCAATAGTATAGTTCATATTCAGGTGGAATATAAATGATGTATTAAGAATCTCAAGCTCCCAAGATGGAGGAGGTAATATGTTTGTGACGGATAATGTTCCCACCGTTCAGCCTCAGAGAGACGCTCTTGTTGTCTGTGTCTGAATCCCTGCAAGGATTTTACAGTTCATACAGAAAGTATTCACAGCGCTTCACTTTTTCCACATTTCATTATGTTACAGCCTTATTCCAAGATGGATTCAATTAATTTTCTTCCTCAAAAGTCTACACACAATACCCCATAATGACAACAGGTTTTTTTAAATGTTTGCAAATTTATTAGAAATAAAGAATGAAAATATAATATGTACATAAGTATTCACAGCCTTAGCTCAATACTTTGTTGTGGCACCTTTGGCAGCATTTACAGCCTCAAGTCTTTTGGAATATGAAGCCACAAGCTTGGATCAACTATCTTTGGCTAGTTTCGCCCATTCCTCTTTACAGAACCTCTCGAGCTCCATCAGGTTGGATGGGGAGCGTCGGTGCACAGCCACTTTCAGATCCCTCCAGAGATGTTCAATGGGGTTCAAGTCTGGGCTCTGGCTGGGCCACTCTAGGACATTCACAGAGTTGTCCTGAAGCCACTCCTTCGATATCTTGGCTGTGTGCTTAGGGTCGTTGTCCTGTTGAAAGATGAACTGTCGCCCCAGTCTGAGGTCAAGAGCGCTCTGGAGCAGGTTTTCTTCCAGGATGTCTCTGTACATTGCTGCATTCATCTTTCCCTCAATCATGACCATCTCCCAGTTCCTGCCGCTGAAAAACATCCCCACAGCATGATGCTGCCACCACCATGCTTCACTGTAGGGATGGTATTGGCCAGGTGATGCGCGGTGCCTGCTGTCCTCCAAACATAACGCTCGGCATTCACGCCAAAGAGTTCGATCTTTGTCTCATCAGACCAGAGAATTTTGTTTCTCATGGTCTGAGAGTCTTTCAGGTGCAAACTCCAGACGGGCTGCCATGTGCCTTTTACTAAGGAGTGGCTTCCATCTGGCTGCTCTACCATACAGGCCTGATTGGTGGAGTGCTGCAGCGATGGTCGTCCTTCTGGAAGGTTCTCCTCTCTCCACAGAGGAACCCTGGAGCTCTGTCAGGGTGACCATCGGGTTATTGGTCACCTCCCCTAACTAAAGCCCTTCTCCCCGATCACTCAGTTTAGAGGGACGGCCAGCTCTAGGAAGAGTCCTGGTGGTTCCAAACTTCTTCCATTTACGGATGATGGAGGCCACTGTGCTCATTGGTGTGATGTTATGAGTACATTAGGTTAAGGACTCCATTACCCAGCATGCCACAGTAGTTAGGAGCATGTGAAGAGCAGCTATCACGCCTCGTCTGCTTATTATAAGTTCAAACAACACAACACAATTGGGAATGTTTCTGTACCCTTCCCCAGATCTGTGCCTCGAGACAACCCGTCGTCTGAAGTTGTCATTATGGGATATTGTGTGTTGAAGTTTGAGGAAGACAATGAACTGAATCCATTTTGGAATAAGGCTGTAACATAATGAAATACTGAATACTTTCTGTATGAACTGTAAATCTCCTTTGTATTCTGTTGTTTTTATGTTCATATGGGTTATTATATTAACTTATATTGTCACATGTTGGATGTATTGCATCGTCTTTAATTAATAAAGTCGTTGTTAAGCTTTGTTTTGATTTGTGGTAACTTGTATTCGGATACTTATTAATACTTTATTAATACTGAATGTGCTGTTATCTGCTTTAATTTAAAATATCAGTTGAGTCAGTTATTAAATGTAGTGAATGAATATCTGCAGTTATTATTATTTATTCATTAAATTCCTCACAGCAGGAAGCTGATTGGCTCACTCACCTGTGATGACGTCGTCAGCAGCCGGGGGGGCGGGGCCAGAGAGCACAGGTTGTATGTGTTCAGTGATGAAGGTGAAAATGTCCTTTAACCAGAGCGCCTCCTGCAGGACGAACATAGAACTACAATCAGCTACAGGATCGATATGTGACTGATCTACAGTAAAATAAAGAGCTGGTTAGTTATAATCAATGAGCCGAATGCAGCAGACAACTATTGAACAACACAAAGATCAATAAAAACTATCGTAAGTACACTTATTAACCGACGAGTTCCCAGCGTTTATCTACTGTGTGACCGCAGCTTAATATCCGTATAACTCCGCAGTGTTTAATATTCAGCTGCTCATATACGAGCCGATGTTAACAGGACACATGACTAACTGTAGAATAATAATTGTTGTTATTATTTAATGTGTCTGTCGCCGCTCAGGAGCTAAACTTTATTAAATTGACACATTTCCAAGAGCGGTGTCGGCTGTGGAGGCTACCAACGGAAACTCACGGCTTCCCCGCTGGGTGTGAACTGATCCAGGACCCGCTGCAGGAGCTCCATGTCCACAGTCCGGACGGCTGCTCTTACTCTTTATTACTTATTCAATATGAAACGTGTCGTTGTTCAGACTAAACAACCGACCTGTTCCCGCTAAAAGCCTCAAACACTACTTCATGTTCAACTACGGTGTCCGCAGAGGCTCAAAGCAGGACGAGTTCTTTAAACCTGTGTTAACCTATTTATTATAAAGTCTGTGGTTGTTATATTATAATATAGTGAAGATAATATTATTGGACATCCTCTGATTACTGAAGCTTATAAAACAGGAATATTATAAAGTTAATAATAATAAATGATTTTCAGCAGAAAGTCAAATAATTCATTAATTATTGAAGGTAACTTGTTCTAGTGAGACAGAGGTCAGTTAAATGTGTGTTAATTGTTGTAATATTATATTTTTGCTATATTTCTATGTTTGTATTGTAAACTTACTGTGGATGTGCAGTTTGTGAGAGAGACTCATCACTAATTCACTTTAAAATAATACTAATGTTCTTTCTATCAGCACTGAAGACTGAAAGTCATTATAACTTCAGATCAGAAAATATAACAAAAATACCAGAAAACATCAAAAATATTAAAAACATTTAAAAAACAGAAAATATCACAAATTACCAGTATAAAGAACATTTCAGAGAATTTCAAAAAATATCAGAAAGTAACAGAAAATATCAGGACACGTAAAAAAAACTCAGAAAATATCAGAAATGATCAGGAAATATATTTAAAAAATCAGAAAATATTAAAGAAATTCAGAAAATTTCAGAAAGGATAAAAAAGTATGAGAAAAAAAATCAGAAAATTTCAAAAAAGAAAAATCATAAGAAATAAAGAGGATAACATATTATTGCCCTCACTAATTCATCTGTACAGCATAATTATCATTCATTTTATATTTTATATACATTTATTTATATAGTTTTCACTGTTTCTCAGAAAGTCACTCCAGTGCAGCTTTTAATGTTTGTGTGTATGAATGCCTGTGATTGTTATTTGTATTATTATATTATTATTTATTTATATATTTACAGCACCATTGGACCATTAATTAACATTTTGGTCCTGTGTACTCTGTATGTGGAAATAACAATAAACAACCTTTAACCATTTACAATATCACATTTATTCTCAATTATTCTTCTTATTGTACAAACTGGACTCAAAACAGTCTGATTCTCTGGACAGTGTTTTCTATCTATCTGTCTGTCTGTCTGTCTGTCTGTCTGTCTGTCTGTCTATCTATCTATCTGTCTGTCTGTCTGTCTGATTTTTTTTCTTCTGTCTATCTATCTGTCTGTCTGTCTGTCTGTCTGTCTGTCTATCTGTCAGCTGTACAGTATTCTGGGAATAAAATCACATTTTTGTTAGCTTTCTCTGTTTATATAAATCCGTTGCATTATTATCAATAATAATAATACAGTTTAATATCACTACAGTCATATTAAACTGCATTATTATAAATAATAATAATAATAATATTAATACAGTTTAATAACACTATAGTGATATTAAACTGTATTAATAAACTGTATTAATAAATTATTATTATTATTGATAATAATATTAATACAGTTTAATATCACTATAGTCATAAAAACAACAAATTATTCTACAATCTCCATTTTCATCCGTCGCTTTGCTGCTGTCTGTCGCCCCTCCCCCACATCCTCCACCGATTGGCCGGTTGGTTTGACGGACAGCGGCTCTGACCAATCAGACGCAGGGATACAAACTAGCTCCACCCATGTTGTGAGTGTAGAATTCCCGCCCTGCTGGCGTTGCTGGGCAGGCGGGGCCGCACGGCAACGAGCTCTGACATGCGGAGCCGTGAGCCAATCAGGGGCGAGTATTCCGACGAGCTCCGCCCAGGTTGGCCCGCCGTGTTCCCGCCCTCTGAATAGGAATGACCAACCGGGGGCGGTACCGGGGGGCGGTACCGGGGGGCGGTACCGGGCTCCAGCTCGACCCAGTTTGAAAGTGAAGCAACGTCTCCAGTCGCTGCTTCAGCCACCAAACAACAACAAGAACCGAGAACCCAAAGTCTGCTCCAGTCTGTAGCCGGCCCTCCTGACAGTGAGTACCCGCGTTCATCCTCCTCCCGTCGGCCTCTGATTTACACAGTCCTGTAATAAAGGCTGGAACATTAATAAAATGGCCGCAGAAACGGCCCCGATGTGGCAGTTTATATATATATAGATTATATATGTTATATATATTATATATAGATGTATTTGTGTCTGTGTATGAGTGATGAAGACGTTGTTGTAAACACGAAACGCCCATTATGGAGCATGAATGTCAGGAAATAGCCACGTCCCATCCATACAACGCTGACCTCTCCGGTGCATAGCCGGAGCCCTTCGTTGAAAATGCGTAGCTGCCGCACTGACGATGTATTTCCATTGCAAACGCGACCGTTTGGAATAAAAACGGCGCCATGTTGGCAGAAATGGAGTAAAGTGTCCTGTTGTGATGTATAAAATGTGTGTGGTTGTTTCTGTGCGCCGGCCGGTCGGGTAGCCGGCCGCTAGCGGAGGGGGATGGGGCGGCTAGCTCTGCAGAGGGCGGGAAGCAAATGGTGGCCCATTGTTCTGTCGGAGCTAGCCTGTTAGCACAGCTAGGCTAACTGCAGCAGTCCGTAGGTCTCCATTGAAGACGCGGCTAGCTCCGAGTTCCGTTCATCTCTACGGCTCATAGACCTCCAGTCATCCAGCCACAGGCGGAGCGGAGGACCCGGGCTGCGGCGGGAGGTCCCGGCACAGGGACCGACAGCAGCGGGGTCCAGAGCGGGTCGGTGGGCCTGCTGCTCTCCGGCAGAGAAAATGGATCCCACTTTGTTCTCTTTGTTATTCACAATGAGCCTCAGTTAGACTGCTGATGGACCGTTATTTTATAATATATAATATATAATCCACTAATGACACACAGAGGGAGCGATACAGCTTATTATTAATAAAACATATTTTATAAGGTTACATTTAGATTATTAGAACAAAATGAGATTTATAGGTTAAAGGGTCATTTCACACAAATGTGTTTAAAGCTTTTATTTTCATTTACTTTGGAAATGTTTGTTTTTAACCAAATAAAGATTTAACACTTATCCATTTTCCCCTGATTTATTATTTTTATTTATTTAATATCTCCATTTTGGTGGCTGGTTTCAAGTTCAAGTGCAATATTAAACTACAGCAATTACCTAACTTATTGATTACCAATGAGCCAATCATCATTTACTGTACACTGCTGTTCTTTGTTGTATGTGATTATTAAAACTGTATTTATGGGCTGGATTTGAAGACGTCCACCTAAATGAAAGGGTTAATGTTTAAAATAACTTATAATGATCATCAGTGAGCATTTGGGGAATAAGAGATCAATATATTGATCATACAGACTGTAACTTGATTGAACTGATGAAAGAATAAACAATGAAATGGGAATACAGACATTAATTATATAAATTAATTATGTTATTAAAGTAATGAATTCATTAACAGATGATATTTGTATTAAACACCGCTCCCTTGTTCTTTGTCTGTACCTGTCTTCCTCTACCTCCTGTCTGTCTGCCAGGCCGCCAGTATGATGCGTAAAGACGTCAACAAGCCGAAGGGGAAGACGTCGGCGTACGCCTTCTTCGTCCAGACGTGTAGAGAGGAACACCGGAAGAAGAACCCAGAGCAGTCGGTCAACTTCGCCGAGTTCTCCAAGAAATGCTCCGAGAGGTGGAAGGTGAGACACACAGACAGACAGACAGACAGTGACTGACAGACAGTCCAGAGACAGCTGACTGTAAACATAATAACTGGAGAGGTTTCCTGATACAGCACATTCACTGTATTTGATATTGTATTGTGTATAAGGAACAGCAACAAGGTGACAAACATTAATACAACTGAAATAAAGTGTAAGGATCAATAACATACACTGCAGCTGTATTGTACAGGGAACCAATCAATTATATTGATTTCATATAGCACCTTTAATGACAGATTTATTCATTAACATTAATATAACTGTTGATACTCAATAACAAAAAAGGTATGTGCACATTATGAAGACTTTACTATAACCTACATATTGATCTGTAATCAATATATAAACATGGTTGATAGCAGATATAAGAACATATTTAATGTTTATTAACTACTGTGTGTCATTATGGTAATGCAGCAGTTTGAGTTGTTCAGTAACACATTGAGAAGCATTTGTAGTCGTTATTGATCAGTTATTACAGGTTAATACACTGATTATTAATCATAGAGAAACTGGTCAGGTCTCTGTGTTTGAGAGTATGATATATATATATATATATATATATATATATATATATATATATATATATATATATATATATATATATATATATGAATGATACTGCTGATTGTCATTGTGATATAAATATAAAACATCCCTATCCTGTAATTTAGGGATGATACAGCAATCCGGTAGTTAAGCTGTAGTTTATACATTCTGAGTAAAGATGGTTTAATATTTCATAATTCTAACCAAATCTAACTGACTATTATGTTAACATCAACAACAGTTCTGACTCTTTAATATTGATTGATTGATTGATTGATTAGAAAAACCTCACACACATACTTTATAGAACAGAGAAGCTTTTGCAATCAACTGATTGATCATCTTAATAATATCTAATAATTCCATTATTGTGATATCAGGAATATGATTTATTGACAGTTTAGATCTTATTGAGTTTAAACTTTACGTCACTGCTGCTGCTCCACTAACTATATTTACTCTGGTTTATTTAAGACAAGCAGACTTTGTGCTGAGATTCACCTTCAGTAACATTCACTTAGTAAGATAAGATATTCCTTTATTTGTCCCACAATGGGGAAATTCCAGTGTTACAGCAGCAAAGTGGATAGAGAGAAAAACAGTATAAAAACACTAAGAGCAGGAAAATAATAAATAAAAACACTGTACAAGAGAAAAAACAGTAAGAATCCACAACAACAGATAACACAAATAGTAGCAGCAGCAGTTGCACATGGGCAATAGATTGCACAGTGAATGTGGTATTGCACATTGTTGTTATATATAAATATTATATATATTATAGTGAAACATAAAGCAGCACACAGACTATAGAGACAGAAAGATTCACCGTCCATCCTGTTAATTCAGAACATTTAAAATCAGCCTTCAAAAGACAGTCCTGGTTATTGATATTATCAATAAATAAACATAAATCATCACTAATAGATCCTCATAAACAGTAGAATGACAGTACAATCTTACCGTCATGTGTTTTCAGAAATAATCATTTAAAACACTAATATAGTATAAAATATAACTAGTTATTTTATGTCTGACCTTTATTTTGACAAAGTTTCCACAGTCGTCTTTTTAATGGAAACAGTCTGATTGGACTTTTTAAATGATTTAACTTAAACTGTTGCGTTATTTATAATTTAATATATTTAAATACACTGTGTGTGTGTTTACTGGCCTTCTTTAAAGGACCCATTTGTCTGGTTTGAATTCTATAAAAGTGTGAGACCGGTTCAGAACCAGAACTCTACAGAACCTGTTAGAGACAGAAACCATGTGAATGTCATAAAGTGGACTACACTGGTTCCAGTCTGCCGGGCTCAGGGTCCTCCAACCACACTGAGGGGGTTCTTCATCATCATTATTATTATTATTATTATTAATAAAAAGCTGCTGTAATATGTAATCAATAAGAATTCAGTATAAACACTGACATCATGCAGTGTATCTGTGAGTCAGCAGAGGGCGCCAACGTCCCCGTATAGACCATAAAGATCTGATCATCACCTTCAGCACCAGGAGAGTTCAAACCTGCTCTAAGACCTGGTTCCTCACCCAGACAGCAGAGCAACATCTCACTGGATGGAGATAACCAACCTGTGGATGGATCTTTTACTGAGCCGGCTCTCTCCACCCAGCCAGATCCCTCACAGACCACTGCAGCAGCAACCTGTCTATCTGCGTACGTAGTGCAGACTTTATTTGTGTAGCTCTTCTCATACAAGCACAGTGTAACACAAAGTGCTTCACACATTAAAACAGCATTATAATGAAGAACTGGAGCTCTCTGAGGTTCTCTGCTCTATCAGTCCTCTCCTCCAGATGGAAGGAACCGTGTCTCCAAACATTTCACTTCAACATCATTTTCATTATTTTTAGTCAAAATTCATTAAATATTAAGAGCCAGACTGCCCCATTCGTTCTGTTTATTGATGCTAAGCTAACAGCTCAGTAGCTGCTAATACTGAGATATTAAAGCTTGTAGCTCCTCCAGCTGTGATAGAGCTGATGCTAGCAGCAGCACACACACACACACACACACACACACACACAGAGCTGTAGCTGGCAGTAGCTCCTCAGAGGACTGTGATTGGTGCGTAACCACTGAGGGTCACACAGCCTCATTCAGCTGGATTCTCCTCATAAGAAGGTAACAGGCAGTGAGCAGAATAAGTCTGTTCACAGGTCACAGGACTCTTTGCACACTGAGCCGCTCTCCACCGGACTCCTTCTGAAGCTCATGTGTCTGTGCTTTCAGGCTCTGTCTGCCAGCGATAAGAAGTGCTTCGAGGACATGGCGAAGGCCGACAAGGTGCGTTACAACAGGGAGATGAGCGACTACGTCCCCCCCAAGGGCTTCGGAAAGAGGGGCCGCAAGAGGAAAGATCCCAACGCCCCCAAGAGACCCCCGTAAGTCCCCACACACAGCTCCAGGTTGACCCAGAGCGGACTGCGATCCTGCTGCTCTACAACCAGTATCACAGGTTCATGAGGCTCTTAGAGGAGGTCTGTCCCCTCTGAGTCCTTCACTTCAATGTAAAGACACTGATTAACCAGAGTGTCTGTCTGTGTGTCTGCAGGTCTGCGTTCTTTGTGTTCTGCAGTGAGTACCGTCCCAGTGTGAAGCAGCAGTATCCTGGTCTGTCTATAGGAGACTGTGCCAAGAAACTGGGAGAGATGTGGAGCAAACTGTCCCAGTCTGAGAAACTGCCCTACGAGGAGAAGGCCCAGAAACTACGAGAGAAATACGACCGGGTAAGACAGACAGACACAGAGAGAGACAGACAGAGAGAGAGAGAGAGAGAGACAGACACAGAGAGAGAGAGAGACAGACAGACAGAGAGAGAGAGAGTAGACAGACAGACAGAGAGAGAGAGAGAAGAGTGAGACAGAGACAGACAGAAAGAGAGAGAGAGTGAAACAGACAAACAGAGAGAGAGAGGAGACAGACAGAAGAGAGTGAGACAGACAGAAAAAAAAAAACAGAGAGAGTGAGACAAACAGAAAGAGAGGGAGAGACAGACAGAGAGAGAGGGTGAAACAGACAGACAGAGAGAGAGAGAGACAGACAGAGAAAAACAGAAGAAACAGACAGACAGAGAGAAGACAGACAGAAGAGAGAGAGAGAGAAAAGAGAGAGTGAGAACAGACAGACAGAGAGAGTGAGACAGACACAGAGAGAAGAAAGTGAGACAAAACAGACAGAAGAGAGAGAGAGAGACAGACAGAGGGAGAGAGAGAGAGAGACAGACAGACAGAGAGAGAGACAAACAGACAGACAGAGAGAGAGAGTGAGACAGACACACAGAGAGAGAGACAGACAGACAGACAGACAGAGAGAAAAGAAGAGAGAAGACAGAAGAAGAGAGATAGAGCTGGGTGATCAATCAATAATTCTAACGATCTGTTGTATTTAGTGAAATAAGAGTGAATGATAAACTACAGATGTTATAATCCAGCTGATGATGATGATGATGATGATGTCACTGAGAGCTCCGCCCCCTCCAGCTGTGTAATAAACTGTTTCCTGTCTGTCTCACAGGACATGGTGGCGTACCGCGGCGGCGGCACGTACGCCAGGAACCCCGGCTCTTCAGCTCAGGGAGGAGAGGAAGAGGAGGATGACGAAGGAGAGGATGAAGATGACGACGACGACGATGACGAGTAGAGAGGAAGAGCTGCAGCTGGATGAGAGAGAGAGACTGAATGTGTGTTAGAGAGAGAGACAGGTAGGTGTGTGTGTTTCAGAGGTCAGACAGGTAGAGTGCAGGTGAGTGACAGCTGATTGGACAGGAGCTGGGAGGGGGCGGGGCTTCAGTGTGTGAGGTCAGGGGTCGCGTAGTGCTCGTTGGTGGGTTAGGGTCTCCTCTGACACTTCCTGCTGCAGCTGGTTGAGGGAGAGAAGAAGAGGAGGGACAGGTGAGGGGGTCACCATGGTAACGGTCGGTTCAAGCCGTTTAAACCTCACAGGAAACAGGAAGTAACCACAGCTGTTGCCACGGCGATAAGAAGTACGGCATGTGGGGAGGTTTTGGTCCCGTTTACTTCCTGTCAGACAGCTGTGGGATCCAGTTAATGTCAGAGGTCAGAGGTCAACCTCGATATCACACATCATTAATCAGTAATGAAACCACACCGACTGACTCACTGACTGTTACTGTATCACTGTATATATACAGTCAGTCAGTGAGTATACTGTATATACTGACTGTATATACAGTAACAGTCAGTATATACAGTCAGTGTGTATATATAGTACACAGTCAGTCACTGTATTACTGTACATCTGACTGTATAGTATTACTGTATCACTGTATATACTGACTGACTGTATATACAGTAACAGTCAGTATATACAGTCAGTCAGTATATATAGTACACAGTCAGTCACTGTATTACTATATACACCGACTGACTCACTGACTGTTACTGTATTACTGTATATACAGTAATACAGTAACAGTCAGTGTGTACTATATATACTGACTGTATATATACAGTGACACAGTGACAGTCAGTCACTATTACTATACACACTGACTGTATATAGTATTACTATACTGACTCACTGTGTTACTGTATATACAGTGACACAGTGACTGACTGTATTACTATACACACTGACTGTACTGTATTGATCCCAACAGTCCTCAGTGAGTCTGTATTGATCCCAACAGTCCTCAGTGTGGCTGTTGATCTGTTGTAAAGTCCTCAGTGTGGCGTATTGATGTATTGATCCCAACAGTCCTCAGTGTGGCGTATTGATCCCAACAGTCCTCAGTGTGTTTACCCAACAGTCCTCAGTGTGGCTGTTTGATCCCAACAGTCCTCAGTGTGCTGATTGATCCCAACAGTCCTCAGTGTGACTGTATTGATCCCAACAGTCCTCAGCGTGACTGTATTGATCCCAACAGTCCTCAGTGTGGCTGTATTGATCCCAACAGTCCTCAGTGTGGCTGTATTGATCCCAACAGTCCTCAGTGTGGCTGTATTGATCCCAACAGTCCTCAGTGTGTCTGTATTGATCCCAACAGTCCTCAGTGTGGCTGTATTGATCCCAACAGTCCTCAGTGTGTCTGTATTGATCCTGTATTGATCCCAACAGTCCTCAGTGTGTCTGTATTGATCCCAACAGTCCTCAGTGTGACTGTATTGATCCCAACAGTCCTCAGTGTGTCTGTATTGATCCTGTTTGTAACAGTCCTCAGTGTGCTGTATTGATCCCAACAGTCCTCAGTGTGGCTGTATTGATCCCAACAGTCCTCAGTGTGTCTGTATTGATCCCAACAGTCCTCAGTGTGTCTGTATTGATCCCAACAGTCCTCAGTGTGACTGTATTGATCCCAACAGTCCTCAGTGTGGCTGTATTGATCCTGTATTGATCCCAACAGTCCTCAGTGTGGCTGTATTGATCCCAACAGTCCTCAGTGTGGCTGTATTGATCCCAACAGTCCTCAGTGTGGCTGTATTGATCCCAACAGTCCTCAGTGGCTGTATTGATCCCAACAGTCCTCAGTGTGTCTGTATATCCTCGTATTGATCCCAACAGTCCTCCAGTGTGTCTGTATTGATCCCAACAGTCCTCAGTGTGACTGTATTGATCCCAACAGTCCTCAGTGTGTTGTATTGATCCTGTATTGATCCCAACAGTCCTCAGTGTGTCTGTATTGATCCCAACAGTCCGTGTTATTTGTATTGATCCCAACAGTCCTCAGTGTGCTGTATTGATCCCAACAGTCCTCAGTGTGACTGTATTGATCCCAACAGTCCTCGTTGTGTGACTGTATTGATCCCAACAGTCCTCAGTGTGACTGTATTGATCCCAACAGTCCTCAGTGTGGCTGTATTGATCCCAACAGTCCTCAGTGTGGCTGTATTGATCCCAACAGTCCTCAGTGTGGCTGTATTGATCCCAACAGTCCTCAGTGTGTCTGTATTGATCCTGTATTGATCCAAGTCCTCAGTGTGTCTGTATTGATCCCAACAGTCCTCAGTGTGACTGTATTGATCCCAACAGTCCTCAGTGTGTTGTTTGATCCTGTATTGATCCCAACAGTCCTCAGTGTGGCTGTATTGATCCCAACAGTCCTCAGTGTGACTGTATTGATCCCAACAGTCCTCAGTGTGTCTGTATTGATCCCAACAGTCCTCAGTGTGACTGTATTGATCCCAACAGTCCTCAGTGTGACTGTATTGATCCCAACAGTCCTCAGTGTGACTGTATTGATCTCACAGAGTTGCTGTGAATAAATAGAGCAGGTAGAGATGTTGCTGCAGTGTCTGTGAGGGGGCTGCTGGTTGGAGAGAATCCCCTCAGGACTCACTAACCAGGGTCGGGGTCTCAGTCCACCATCACTTTAATAAAACTCTTAAGTGTTTAAAATCGACACTGTTGATGTTTCTCCTCAAATCTTCTCCAAGTGAATGTTGTGGTGAACTAGCAACAGAAATAGGGATCCAGCAGTCCACCTCGCAGTCCACCTCGCGGTCCACCCGCAGTCCACCTCGCGGTCCACCTCTGACCCCCTGATTGGAGGCAGTGCATTATGGGACAGCTTCCAGAGTGAATGTGAGCTCCTGTGTAACAGCAGTCAGTGTAATGTGCAGCTGCAGACAACACCTCAAACACTGAGGCATCGTGGGATTGATCTTCACCTCTGAACCTGACAGACAGAGAGAGAGAGAGACAGGTTGCTCTGAAACACACACACCAAACCACAGAGTGTGTGTGTGTTACTGTGTGTGTGTGTGTATGTTTGTGTTACTGTGTGTGTGTGTGTGTGTGTTGGAGGTCATCAGATGTTAAACTGTCCGACACCAGAGGACAGTAAAGTAACCCCCCTCCCTCTTCACCTCACTGTTACCATGGTTACCCTGCACCCTCCCTCCCCTCCCCCTGTGTGTTACCATGGAGACCCGCGCCCCCTCCTACTGCTCTTCTTCTTCTTCTTCATCATCATGTTGTTTTTTATTTTCTTACTGAAGGTTTATTGGAGTTTGTTCTGTTCCTCGTTCACTGTCAGTAGAAACTTCAACTTTTATAATAAAACAACCAACTGAGGGAAAAACACACACACTGTCTGTTGTCCTTCACTGCCCACTGACTGTCCTCCTTCAGGTCCTCATGCTCAGGGCCCCACTGTCGGTGGAGAACCGGCGTGGTACGGATCTTCAGATGTGTTTTTGTGTCTCTTTTCATTTCATTGTCACAAAGAAAACTGAACAAATAATGTTGAGGAATATGAATTGTACTGGAATCAGCCTGATGGCTGAGGAGATAGTTTCTACTTTATCTGAACTTTAACTACAGTTTCTACTTTATCTGAACTTTAACTACAGTTTCTACTTTATCTGAACTTTAACTACAGTTTCTACTTTATCTGAACTTTAACTACAGTTTCTACTCTATCTTTAACTTTAACTACAGTCAGTACGCTGCAGAAATACCTTCAGATTAACTCTGTCTGTAACTGTAAACCTATAACTGAACCTAAACTGCTGCAATAAGCTGTCTATAGAGTGGGAAGTTGTACAGTCAATAATAATATTACTATATCACAAACAGCATTAGTTCTGTTGGCAGTAAGAAAACACCCAACAAAGCTCACATAATGATAATAATAATAAAACAGAGAGAATAATCCCAATATGACTGGTTGTGAGCGTTACTGCAGTGATAGGAGGAAGTTGACCACTAGATGGCAGTAAATCTACACTGTGTCTTTATAGTGCGTTCATTAAGGTTATAAAGGTCAAACTGTTGGAAACAGTCAGTGCAACAGGCTCAGCTCAGGTTCCTGCTGTGTTAACAGTGTGTGTATATATGTGTGTGTATACTGTACTTGTTTACTAGCATTGGAGATAAAGCGGTTCGCCTGGTTTGTGGAGCTCACCTTAATTAAAGATAATAATATAACATTAACAGTATAATATCACAACATTATATAACAATATAATAACAAAACATTACCATAATAATACCACATTAACATAATATAACAATACAATAATATAACTAACATAACAATATAATAGTATAACAATATAATAATATAACTAACAATATAACAACATAATAATATAATAGTATAACATTAATATAATAATATAACATTAACATAATATAACAGGAGGCTGCTGTGAAAGCCAGTTTTGTTGTGGCTGAAGAAAAGAAATAGTGTATCAGTGTATCACAGGAACAGTTATCGGTTCGGGAGTGTCACGACCTGGCTCTGAAGCCTCGACAAAAACGAGGAGACGCAGTTGAAAGGACAAATTATAAGTAATTTATTTAAACATAACAACCTAAATGCAACCTGAAAAAGAACTAAATAGAAGATGAGGTGTGTTTGTCAGTAACATCAGTGGTGAAAGTGTGTGTATGCATGAGTGTGATGTATAATGAAAAGTAAATGTTGGATGTTAAAACACAACTACTCTGAATACCAGCAATGATAATAAGATAGAAAGAGAGCCCCCGTCAGCCAGAGAGGCGGGGCTTTTATAGCTGGGAAACACCGGGACCAGGTGCTTCCGGCTATGCCGATTGGTCCAACCCACAAGTACCTGCTGCCTTAAAAGGAAGAGGAAACATTAGAGCCACTCAGGGGACCGTCACAGAGAGCTAAAGGGTTAAACCACGCGATGTATCACACACAGGTACGTTGTATCACACACAGGTAGGACGTATCTCACACAGGTACGTTGTATCACACACAGGTAGGACGTATCTCACACAGGTACGTTGTATCACACACAGGTACGACGTATCACACACAGGTACATTGTATCACACACAGGTACGACGTATCACACACAGGTACATTGTATCACACACAGGTACATTGTATCACACACAGGTACATTGTATCACACACAGGTACATTGTATGACACACAGGTACATTGTATCACACACAGGTACGACGTATCACACACAGGTACGGTGTATCACACACAGGTACGACGTATCACACACAGGTACGTTGTATCACACACAGGTAGGACGTATCACACACAGGTACGACGTATCACACACAGGTACATTGTATCACACACAGGTAGGACGTATCACACACAGGTAGGACGTATCACACACAGGTACGGTGTATCACACACAGGTACATTGTACACACAGGTAGGGCGTATCGCACACAGGTACATTGTATTACACACAGGTAGGACGTATCGCACACAGGTACGACGTATCGCACACAGGTACGACGTATCGCACACAGGATGTATCGCACACAGGTACGTTGTATCACACACAGGTAGGACGATCTCACACAGGTACGTTGTATCACACACAGGTAGGACGTATCTCACACAGGTACATTGTATCACACACAGGTACGACGTATCACACACAGGTACATTGTATCACACACAGGTACGTTGTATCACACACAGGTACGACGTATCACACACAGGTACATTGTATCACACACAGGTACGACGTATCACACACAGGTACGGTGTATCACACACAGGTACGACGTATCACACACAGGTAGGACGTATCACACACAGGTACATTGTATCACACACAGGTACGACGTATCACACACAGGTAGGACGTATCACACACAGGTAGGACGTATCGCACACAGGTAGGACGTATCGCACACAGGTAGGACGTATCGCACACAGGTACGACGTATCGCACACAGGTACGACGTATCGCACACAGGTAGGACGTATCTCACACAGGTAGGACGTATCGCACACAGGTAGGTCGTATCACACACAGGTAGGACGTATCACACACAGGTACTTGTATCACACACAGGTACATTGTATCACACACAGGTACGGTGTATCACACACAGGTACGACGTATCACACACAGGTAGGACGTATCACACACAGGTACATTGTATCACACACAGGTACGACGTATCACACACAGGTAGGACGTATCACACACAGGTACATTGTATCACACACAGGTACGTTGTATCACACACAGGTAGGACGTATCACACACAGGTAGGACGTATCACACACAGGTACGATGTATCACACAGGTAGGACGTATCACACACAGGTAGGACGTATCACACACAGGTACGGTGTATCGCACACAGGTAGGACGTATCGCACACAGGTAGGACGTATCGCACACAGGTACGACGTATCGCACACAGGTACGACGTATCGCACACAGGTAGGACGTATCGCACACAGGTAGGACGTATCGCACACAGGTAGGACGTATCGCACACAGGTAGGACGTATCACACACAGGTACGATGTTCGAGGGACAGTGCTGACAGACCTCCAGTGTAATGAGGGCACGTACATCCACACATAATGTGTGAGCAGTTTTTCTCTGAGGAACAAAAACCCATAAAAGAACAACATCATCTACCTAAATATGTTTTCTTTTTCACTTCATCCAATATCTGTTCAATACATGTTGACTAGGAGTGGATAAAAATATCGATACGGCAATATATCGCGATACTTTCCCGCCCGATACAATATCGATTTTTCAACTCCAAAGATCGATTTTGTTTTTTCAGAATAATGATTGATGTTTAGACGCGTTGTGAATACAGTACGACCTCCGTACCTCCACTCCGGTAGATGGTATTGTATTGTACATGTGTTTCTGTATTAGAGAGAGTGGCTGAGGATCAAAAGAACAACGCCTCCGCAGTTTAAAGCCGACGTTTGGAAGCACTTTGGCTTCCAAGTTAAAAAGATCGTAAGAACAACGAGTTGGATAAAGATAATGCTGTTTGTAAGCTTTGTCTCGCTGCCGTGAAATACTGTGGGAACACAAGACACCACACTGAGATATTAATTAATATTAATTATTAATTATATATTAATTAATATCAGCCGTCCCAGTCGGGGCTCCTCGCAGTAACGGGGGGGCACGTACGACCCACAAAACAAAGATGGCTGCGCCCATATTGAAACGTATGTTCTTTGTATTTGTTCTACGTTGGTCGTTTTAATGTCGACTTTAAATTCTCCTACACTGTTTACATTGCTGCTTTAGTCCGGTCACCAGTTTATGCATTGTACCGTGTTAATGTGAGTTCAATACAATGTAAAGGTTTGTTTTAGAGCTGGTAGCTAAATAGGCTAATGTAGCTAACAATAACACTAGCCTGCCACTGGAGGCCCCTGGAGGCTCCTGGTGGCCCCTGGAGGCCCCTGGTGGCCCCTGGTGGCCCCTGGTGGCCCCTGGTGACCCCTGGAGGCCCCTGGAGGCTCCTGGTGGCTCCTGGAGGCCCCTAGAGGCCCCTGGTGGCTCCTGGAGGCCCCTGGTGGCCCCTGGTGGCTCCTGGTGACCCCTGGTGGCTCGAGACAAACGCCACAGCACTTGTTGAAATTGAAATAGGCGAAAATGGCAAAATATTATTAAAATGTAAGACTTGCAATAACGGAATTACTTGAAATGTTTGTGTTTGTGTAGAAAAACATTATTATTTCACATTGAGCTTGTTTAGATGATCTACAATCAATAACAACACAGCTGCTGCACTGGTGGCGTCCATGTTCTGTTAAATTAATGAAAGGAAATTAATAATTAATAAATTAATAAAATATATAACAATAAAATGGAGAGGCTGTTTTGAATGAAATAGCTTTGACTCAGTTTGTCCTCTGATCAATATCTGATGTGCATACACAGGTACTTGTGTTTTCATCTCTATTTATATCGTGATATCGCAATATAAATAGAGTATCGTATTGTGACCAAAGTATCGTATCGGAAGGTTCTTGCCAATACTCACCCCTAACACTGACCCTGTTTAAGACAGATATACATAATAAAGGCCAGATGTCTCACGGCGGAGTCTCTAACGTCATCACCGGAGGCCATCTTGTCACAGGCAAGCTTTCTGGCGGGCTCTGTGGAACCTGATGTAAAATGAGTGATCTGCACCAACACAAATACTCTGAAATCTCGACAGATTTACAAACGGTTTGCTTTCTTACAAACGTTATTAACGTGGCTATAATTCTGGATGCTTGAACATGTTGAGATAGCAGCTTAATCGTGCAGCATAGTTGTGTATCACGGCTACTAGCACAAGTTATCAAGGCTGGGACCTCGAGCTGTTCAATTATATAGGTTTTACTGACACCAATAACGATTTTATGTTAACTAATCTTTTGTCTAAATTACAATCTTTGTGGATGTGGTTGTAGTTGTTAGCTGGCTAATAACAAGAAGCTTTGAGTTAGCTGCTACCCAGCAATTTTACATCAGTGGGAGAGGCAGAATTGCTCTTTCTTTTCAATATAACTTAAGTTGCACATGATTTCCAATCGGTTTGGTTTGTTAAAAACATCTTACATTATGATACAGGAAATTACTGGCTTTATAAGAGAAGATGCCAGACTTTTGTGCAGCCTACGGATGCTCCAATCGCCGTAGTCTCAAAACGAGAGCCCGTGGGATCACCTTTCACCTTCAGAGAAGGGCTGGACGATAAATCGATTTTATCGATTAATTCGAATTTGTAGTTAAACACAATTTATTTATAGTTAAAATCAGTTTTCTCTTGAACTTCCACAACACCAGCGCTCCCTTTGGGCTCCCGTAGGTCAGAGTGCGCTGACCCCTCCCCCCACCTCTCCACAGATAAACACAACATGGCAGCAAGCCAGGATGAGCTCGTCCCCAAAAAGGGCACAGTGTCGTCGGTTGTTTGGAACTGGTTTGGTTTTGTGGCGTCCGACAGCGTACAAACCACGACCCACTGCACTGTTTGTTTGAAAGCTGTTGCAACCAAAGGTAGCAGCACGAATTTATTCCAGCACCTCAAGCAGAGGCATGAAGCCGAGTAAGCAAAACAGCCCACAAACACCCACTAAAAAACAGTCTACATGAGTGGATTCATTTTCACATTTCACAAATTTTGTTCAAATCCCAGAAGGGAAAATCAAAACAAAATAAAAGCAAAACTTGTTTTGAATAATTTCTTTGTCATTTGTAGTGTGTTCTTAAGAAGGAAAAAAAAACGATTAAAACGATCGGGTTTGGTGATTTTATTTTTAAGCCATATCGCCCAGCCCTACCTGTAAGATATGACAATATTATGATTATATTTGGGATAATTGTTAGTTACTTATTGGATGTATGTACAATACAGGTCCTGTTACACAGGAGCAGTGGGGCTATGACATAATAGTATTACAAGATTGTTGTTGACCCAAGGCTTTTTAGAAGTTTGTTTACACAATCGCTGAATGTTTCTTTTGGACACCTTTTTATAACTAGTTTAGTGTGGTTGTCTTATTCTAAAGTACATACATGCATACATGATGCATACATGCACACATGCATACATACAATTACCCCAAACATATAATAATAATTTAGGTGTGTATTTTTGTCCTTACCCTAATGTTGAAAGAAGGAAAAAGGTTGGAAATGTTGACAATAATTTATATATTGGGTACATTTCTCACGTTTTAAGGTTTCCCAAAACTGGAAAGATGAGGAGGCAGTGGGAACCAAGAAGGCCTTGACAGGACATGCTCTGCATGAGCACTTCAGAGTAGACTTAAGAAGGCAGAATGTCCGGCTAAAATGGTTTGTGCCAACCATTTTCAACTTTCCAGCTCATCTTCAAAGGGTATGTGTATCATTGACCAACAATAATTCAAGGTGTATAAGATTGATATACAATATGTGATTAAATGTCACTTTAGTTTTTGTTTCTGCAAGTTATATAATGTGTTGTTTATTACAGCACATTTTAGACACTCAAAACATCTTTACTTGTGTTTATTTTAGCTGGTAGCAACAAGAAGCACAACCACCCTTTAGAAGAGCGGAAGACAACCTGCCAATGGACACACTGCCCTCACACACTGGCCCACACACTGCCCTCACACACTGCAATCACACACTGCCATCACACACTGCAATCACACACTGCCCTCACTCACTGCAATCACACACTGGCCTCACACATGCCCTCACACACTGCCCTCACACACTGCAATCACACACTGCCCTCACACACTGCCATCACACACTGCCATCACACACTGCCCTCACACACTGCAATCACACACTGCCCTCACACACTGCCATCACACACTGCCCTCACACACTGCCCTCACACACTGCCATCACACACTGCCCTCACACACTGCCCTCACACACTGCCATCACACACTGCCCTCACACACTGCAATCACACACTGCCCTCACACACTGCCATCACACACTGCCATCACACACTGCCATCACACACTGCCATCCACATGCCCTCACTCACTGCAATCACACACTGCCCTCACACACTGCCATCACACACTGCCATCACACACTGCCATCCACACTGCCCTCACTCACTGCAATCACACACTGCCCTCACAACTGCCATCACACACTGCCATCACACACTGCCATCCACACTGCCCTCACACTGCCATCACACACTGCCATCAAACGCCCTCACACTGCCATCACACATGCCATCACACACTGCCATCCACACTGCCCTCACTCACTGCAATCACACACTGCCCTCACACACTGCCCTCACACACTGCCATCACACACTGCCATACACACTGCCATCACACACTGCCATCCAATGCCCTCACACACTGGCCTCACTACTGCAATCACACACTGCCCGCACACACTGCAATCACACACTGCAATCACACACTGCAATCACACACTGCAATCACACACTGCCCTCACACATGCCATCCACACTGCAATCACACACTGCCCTCACACACTGCCATCACACACTGCAATCACACACTGCCCTCACACACTGCAATCACACACTGCCCTCACACACTGCCACCCACACTGCCATCCACACTGCCCTCACAATGCCCTCACACATGGCCTCACACACTGCCCTCACTCACTGCCATCCAACTGCAATCACACACTGCAATCACACACTGCCCTCACACACTTACGTATGTACGAATGCTTTTCATGGACTGCTGTTCAGCATTCAACAAGGTCATTCCATTCAGGTTCTCTCAAAAGCTCCTCACCCTTGGACTGACACCCTCCCTCTGTAACTGGGTGCTGAACTTCCTAAAAGACAGACCCCAGTCCAACACCTGCATTATAAAGTTTGCAGACGGCTCTAGGGTCATGGGACTGATCAGTTGTGGGGAGGAGACCGCGTACAGAAGGCTCTCCAGCGTGTAATAAAAACTGCACCATTCATCTCTGGAGCAGCCTTCCCATCACTACAGGACATCTACACAACCAGGGTCATCAGGAGGGCCCACAACATCATAAAGGACAATTCCCACAACACAGCCACAGTCTGCAGTCAGGGAGGAGCTACAGGAGTGTGAAAGCAAGGACAAGGACCCCCCCCCCACACACACACACACACAGCAGTGCTGTAATCTATTACAGTGACAGAAAACAGATGTAATCACATTACAAATGTGAATTATTAGAGGTTTGAAATATATCAGTTTTTATTTATATTGAAATAGTGTGTATTTATGTACAGTGTGTATATTTTGGCTGTATTTTAAATACTAAACTAAATTATAATTCATTTGAAAGCCTTGTTCTTAGTCTTTCTCACCCAAACTGGAAAACACTGCAGCCA